ATGCCCTTGGGTCTGTGCAGAGCAAGTGGTATGGTGAAGCAGTGTTGCTGCTTTCTGGTACAGGGAGGATTTACAGCAACCCAGGCCATTCTCCTCAAGTATATGTCTGGTCTCTGGTGAATTTAGGTAATTCTATTTCCACTGGTTATGAAAAAGAGCTGCATGCTTAACGGGGCTCTAGACTGTACTCCTATTTTGTCTTTATGGAAATGTATAATGGAGGAAAGAGACTCCTTTTCCCTTTGCCTTATGCTGTATCCCTGTCATGGAGCCTGAGGCTGGAACAAAGCAGTCAAGAGCAGACTCTGCTGTTATATACCTGGGGTTTGAATGATGGTCACTGTTTTTGAAAGAGGCAGAGAAAACTCCATTTCTATCTTGTTTCTCTTCAGTGAACTGGCTGTCTGGTAAATCCAGAAGCATGGCCCCCACATTTCCTTGGTGACTCTCAGAGTCTCTTCCACAGTCAAGATTCCTTTGGTCCATCTTTTTGAGAGATGATTTTCCCTTGGCCCATGCAGGAGCATGAAGAAGAGCCTGGAACTGTATTTCCACCATTTCCTTGCTACATAACAAGGTCGTGGTGGCATACATCACTGTTCCTGACTTCATCAGCTAGTTTCAGGGTTCAATTCAAGTTTAGTGATAGACGGTCCTAACTGTACCAGCAAGGAGCGGAATATAGATGTAAACTGGTGAAATTTCCCCAAAAGCTTTTCTAGGAACTGATGCAGTAAAGCAGGAGTCAGCATACAACAGACCTTTTGCTTTCCAGTTCATCTTTCTCTCTCAAGGTCCTTCCCTGACTACAAGGCAACTGTATGCAATTGCAGACATGGTGCGTCCCTGCAACAATTCAGTCATAGAGCTGGGGGTGTCCTTACTACTTCTTCTGCCTAGGCATAAAAGGACGGCAAATCCCAGGGCTCTTCCCCAATGCATTTCTTAAAGTCACAATGTCTGCTCAGTTTACATCTCATGTTTCAGTAGATGGAAGAGCCTGAGTTTAATAGCTGACCCAAAGCTGAGGATTCTTAGCGTACAAGTTCAGAGCAGAAGGAAATCACCACCTTTGAAATCAAGAGTTGGTGCATAAGGACTCTGCTTCTTTTCCTATTTGTGCTAAAGGTCTCCCCTGACTTTTGCAATGTGGTATCCCTTCAGTCAGCTCATGGAAAGATAAATCACAGAGTATTGAAAGGGGAAGGTTTTAATGAAGAAGCTTGAACTGCTTTAAGAGTTGCTAAAAAATAAAATAAAATAAAATATATTGCAGAACTATTACAAGTAACAGATGATTCCAGAGTGTTTCCAGGGCTGAGCTTGCTCCCATGCTGACTTTAGCTGCGCTCTTGTGGTTTATCTTCAGAGCAGTTTCCCTGAGAAAATAACTGCAGTGCCTTTACTCTAGAGCCATGCATGTCCCAGATGAACTAGGCCTCTTTTAGCACGTCAGCATTCATTGTCTGGGTGAATTAAGTACTGTGCTAAATTATGGAAACTCTGCCATGCCAGTCCACATCAACAGTTGCCTCAGCCTTTCCCACCCAGTCTCTAATTTTTCCTGAACAATAAGATGTGAATTTGGAGATAGAATTCAATGGAGTGTAGAATGAGAGGGAAGCAACCATGGAAAAAACTGGGTGTGGGTGTGGGTGCGTGCATGTGTCCAAAACCATGTCAATGACTTGGCCACCCTGAGGGGGCAGGACATCACTGGGGAGGACACTGTGTAAAAGTAGCTATTTCTGGTAGCCATCACTGCCAGCAGGAGCATGCTGCCATGCTTGGCACCTGGGGCAGTGTTAGGAGCAGACATATAGGGATTAGTGCTTGGGTGTGAGGGAGCAGAAGAAGGACATTCCCCTGCAGCTGAGCTACCCAATTCCTCAGCATGGAGGGGGAGTGAAGCAAGGAGCACTTCTAACGTTTGGCTCTACCAAGCAGGGCCAAGCTTCCCACCGCCACAGTCTCAGGGGCTGCACAGGACAAAGGGCTGTAGGTCTGCAGCAGCACCTGGAAAGAGCTGGCTAGCTGCAGAAAGGGAGCAGGGATGCTTGTGGGGAAGCTTTGCCTTAGCTGCCAAACTGACCTGCCGTGCTCTAATTCTGTGTTGCTCTAGCAAGGATTTAAATCCTCATGTGTCAGAGCATCAAGCAAAGAGGAAGCTCTGTGTGGGTGCAGCCTGTGTCACAGCTGCCGATTGCTCAGCCTCCGAGGGCACCAGTGCGGTTCTCACCTATTTCAGGGAAGCACTGCATCACTATCTGAGCCCTCATACATGAATCTTTGTCACCTGCTTGAGCTGGGTCATCATCCAGTTGCATTATTCTCTTTCTCCCCCTGCACTAACAGTAGGCCAGAAATGAGCCTTCCTGCTTACTGTCTCTGTCACATTTTTCCTGCTGCCTCTTGGATTGGAACTACAGCCTCCCTCTGACTTCTCTGTGGGCTTTCTACCCAGGATCAGCCCAGCCCATCTTGGTTTTGGAAAGCAAGAAAAACCCAGTATGTTCACCTCAGCACAACTCACATAAGCTCAACTCCGTGGCTTTATCCATATGAAAATTCTCCTTTTGTGGCTGATGCAATTTTTCTGTCTGGTCAGCAATATTTGATGTGTGTTGAAGGCAGGTTCAGCTCGGGTGAAGAGCATATGTTGCTCTCCTAAAAAATAATTTGTTTTTTTTAGGGGAGATATAAATAGCTGACTTAATTGTGCTGGTCATCCACACTAGTGTTGGCATGAGGTACATGACATCAAACTCTGAAGCAGTGATGACGAGTGCATTCTCATTTCTTTATAGAACTTTGCATGCTATGCCTGATATGGATTTTTATTCTGTCACTTGATTGCTACAAAGATGCATTCATCAAATGCAATTACTGCCATATGAGCCAGTCAACAGGGAAGGTTCTTCTCACCAGTCTGTTACACTGGTCTACCCGCAGTAGGGGAAAACAGACAGAACTTGCACAAATAGATAACTGCTCTAGGCAGAAAGTGTCAAGAACCACTGAACTTCCTTATGCTCTCCCTCCCAAATAATTTACCTGTCTGTGCTATGCCATACCATATGAGACTGGTTAGTGAGGGATGGAAATTCATTTCTGTCAATGTATGGAAAGAGAGGAGTAGGCAAAATACCTGAAGTGCAAAGTGAGGCTTCATACAGACATTACAGGTTTTATTTTCTCTGCTTCCCTTGTGACAGTAAGATTTCAAGCCAAAGAAGTGACAGAAAGCAGTTGTGTGCTTTATGGGGAATACTTAGTAGGTGGATACATCCCAGTTCTCAGTCTAGTTCTTGTTCACAGCTTTCTGTGCACACAAAGAGGTTCATCTTGCTAGGCACATTGGCTGTAAGTGCAAATGTTACTCCTTAACCTAGTTGTAGTGGTCTCCATGCCCTGGCAGTTTATGCTGGTCAACATATTCAATGTGCCTTCCAGTCTCTACTTTGAGAAGGGTGGAGGTTTGGCAATGGGATACAAGCACAACGTTGAGAGGGGTTGCAGAGGAGCCAGTGTGAAGGGGAGATAGTGGAGCAGACTGAGAAAAAAAATGTGCCCCAGCACCAAAATTAAGGCCGATAAGTACTTCAGAGTTTCAATCCAAATTGTAGGGGACAGCAGATACCATCCAAGGAGACAGAGTCCAAAGCTCACTGTGTAGGGAGAAAGGACAGTCCCTGCCAGGTAGCCTACATGGTCAACTGGCAAGGGAAGCAGAAGCACACAAGGCAATGATGTATCTCCCAGTAGCCCCCAGGCATCAGGAGCTCATAACCACCTGTGTGTTGTTAGTTGCATTGTTGTTAGTTGATGAGGTGATTTGGGTTTTCAAGAACATGATTCCAAAGATTCTCGTGACTCTGGCCTTCACCACTGGCAAAGCTCACCTTATTTTAGGGGAGATATCTTGCAGCTTTCTGAAGACCTCAAATCATTAAAGTTGTTTACTCCATTATTGTTCACCCAATCAAAGCACTGGTGGGCTTCAGAAGGGATTTGTCTGAACTGGTCCTATGGAATTAATCCATTTTGTGCCCTAAAAAAAAAAAAAGAGAAAAGAAAACAGAAGCAGTTAGAACCCCATATCAAATAACAGGAGAGAAATGGACCTGGAAATGATGACCAGGATACAAAAAGGGAACAACTAGAAGGTTAAATCCTTTCCCTAATCCTGTAATCTGCTCTAGCAGGATCTGGAGGGTTTTGTTGTGGTCCATGGAAATATATGTGTTCAACATTGAAAATACCAGATCTTAGCAATTGTTTACCTTAGTGAGAGTAATGCCTACTTCTTCTTTGGGTCCTAAAATGCCTTTATTTTAATTCTGTTTGTCATACTGGGCAGTGCCAATCATCATGCTCTGCTGGTTGTGACTCCCTGGTGCTGTAGCTGTTATGGTGGTGGTACAAGACAAGTTGCAGATCATCCCAAGAGAAGACTGAGGAGGTTGTGGGATACTTCAACCTGACCTCACTCATAGCAGCTTGTTTGGCTGTGCTGAGCATACACTTCTGCTTTATAGGACTACAGATTTGGGGAAAGGCCAAGAGGGGCATCTTCAGTTTGCACACACAGCATAAATAGTCCCTACAGATTTAATTCTGTTAGTGGGAGATGAGTATTTACATGACAGTGGAGCTGTCTCTAGGTACTGTCCCAGTTTCCTCATGAGACCAATCAGCCCTGTGGAGCCACGCACCAGCCCGTGCACTGCGTGCCTCTGGGGAGCCCTGGCACATCCTCTGTCCTATCCCCATCCCAGGTGCTGTGGGATCCTCATTCAATTGCTTCCCCTTCTCTGACTCCAGTTTCCTGTCTGTGCTGTGAAGAGAGCAGTACATTGCAGCTCTGTAAAGCGTCTGCCTCATCCTGGCTACCTGTCCAGTATGAGGCTTTGTGGAATGTGAGCTCAGGCAGTGCCCTGCCTGCCTGCAATGAGTCTCCTGCCGCTTGCCCTGACCTCCTCTGCTTGTCTGCTTTGCAGGAGCACTTGCTTACAGGGTACCTTGCATGGAGAAAGGGAGCAGAGCAAACCATGTCACTCCACCACCGAATGACGCCAGCTGGTCCGCTCACCACCCCCTCTGGCTAAAAGTCCAAGCAAAGAAAGCAGCTTCCTGTCATGAAGCCCCTCCAAGGAAGCCTCGGTCCCACGGGTGCCTTTGACCCAGAAGACAGCACATCATGGACCTACACAGTGTGCTCAGCATTCCTGCGACCACCCTTCTTCTCCTCTTGGAACGCTTTTTCCTCTTGGTTTCTTGCTGGGGGGGATTTTTCACCCAGGTTTCAAAAACCACACGGACCAACATAGGTACTTTTCCCTCACTGACTTGGAAGTTCAGATATTTGAGACTGGACAATGATATGGATTTTTTTTTTAATTTTTTTTTCCCTTTGAAAAACTGCTGTGGTTTTGCTGCTACACTAAGAATCGTGATTTGCATTGTATGGTTTTGGACCTATTCAAGTTTTGATGGGGGAAAGGGGTAATACTGGAGTGGCAACACTTCAGAGTCATCTCTGTCCTACCCATGATGCACTTTTAAATGAAGAGTTAGAATATTTTATTGGCTAATATGCTTTCCTTGTTATTTTTACAAAGGCCACCTTTATCCTTTCTAATGCCATATTTTCAGTGTTACACTTTTATGGCTTTTAATTTTTGATTTGACAGATGTAAGAAGCAGCATGAATAGTTTATACTGTGGTTTTTCAGAGACTGAATGCCAAGAGAACTCAGTAAATGTTTATTCTTCTCAGCTTTCTCTTTAAATTCCCCTAAATAGCGCCCCATTTGGGAACAGAGCAAGAGTGTTGAACTAAAGACCAAAATTCCCTCAAGGTGTAAAATAATCTGAGGGGAATATTTGCTGGGCGTCACGAAAGACTTGGATGAAATTTCAACCCTGATGGTTTTCAGTGATCCAGGAAGGCAGTGAGACAATCTCTCCATATGCATAGCCCTTTCATGATAATTAGAATGGTATGGACAAACCAATGAAAACAAGGGTAAAGTGAGAAAGATCCCCCATGATTCTGTTTCACTGTTTGCTTTCTCCTGTCATGGTTAAGAGAAATGTGCAATTTGATCCTCAATCAGTGGGTGGAGGATAACAGGGTAGAATTTACTTGTGTGCACTTGTACAGTTGTAGCCAAGAGTCCAAAAGTACACTAGAGCATGTTATACTGGCACTGAATTGGTAAGAGAGTCGTGGAGTATCCCATTCTGACAAATAAAAAAAAAAAAAGCAAAAAAAAGCCAAAAAATAAAAGTAAAAAAAAAAAAAAAGTAACCCATGAAAACCCCACAAAAATCAAAAAGAGAGAAAAAAAATCGAAAAAAAATATTTCAGATCACCTTGTGATTCAGTGTAACTGTTTACTAACTCAAATAAAGCAATTGTTCACTCTTGAGTGTTCAGAGTACACCTTTTCTATAAGGCTGCTGCGGGGAAGTGAGGAGCAGTTTGCAGGAGCAGTGTCTGCGTCAGCGGTGTTGGGAGCAGGGCAGCAGAGTCAGTTGAACCAGAGCCTTGTAGTGATGGTGCACTATGAGCACTATGTATATACTGTATTTCTATATTTTCCTTTGTACAGTTTCACTTAAGTCAAGCTACTGTTTTACAGGTGCTCCTTATTTATTAGAGCTGTGAAAGCTTGGAAATCACACCGGGCGAGTAAGCTCGCTTTTTAAGAAAAAACAAACAAAAAAAAAAAACAACAAAAAAAAGAGGGGCGGGGAGGGAATCCAACAACTCCTGAGTCTAAGGAGAGAGCTCAAAAACATCCCAATGAAACATCTTAAAGAGGGCAAGAATCTGAAGCACCCTCAGCGTGCTCTGCTTTCCTTTTGGGCTTGCAGCTCTTTTCTCTCTCCCTGACTGGTGTCAGATTTATTAAAACAAAATAAATCTCCAAGAAAAAAAATGCACTTAAAATGTGCTGTTGTTTTATTTTTTTTTCCTTTTTGTGCATGTGGTTATTCATTCCTCTACCTGCCTAATCACAGACAAAAAGCCCCCTCAGTCTGAAGTCTTAGAAAAATACGGGTAAGTGTTCTTGAAAGCTGTATCTATGTCCCTTCCATCTTCATGTCTCCCTTGACAGTTCTCTGTTTCTGCAGTATTTAAGGAGTGGGGAGAAAAAACCATGCACTCACCACAGTGCAGAGTTAGGTCCTGATCTGGGAGAAGGCCCATGGATAGATGCACTTGCTGCAGCTTCGTTCATTTTGAGGGGATCTATCCAAGCACAATTTGCTCATGCTGCACCTGTGGCAGTGTACAGAAGTGTGTTCTGCCTACTTTTTGTGAGGATGGGGCTTTTCCATGTATGAACTCCCCCTGAAATCACAGGTTCTTCAAAGCACCAAACTCCTCCCAAGTGCCCCCAGACCTCTGCGACAGCTGTCTTACACAATAGTGTTTGGTTCTCAGCTCTTGGCCAGCACAGCCAGTGCTGCTGATGTAGGGGTTGGAAATGTCTGTTGAGCTCTGGAACTATTAGACAGTTTCATTAACCAGCCATGTAAGGCAAACAACAACAGCCTAAGTATGCCTGCTCGGAAGGGCATGCAGAGTAAAGCTTGTCTCCCTATAAACAGCTTGCTGCATCTCTATTTATTCATATGAACTTGGCTGTAAAATGAAGGCTGTGTGTGTTGATTTTGCTTTTGTCAGTGGTCCAGAATTGTTAGCACACATTTTCACTTTTCTGAAAAACAACAGACTCCGTAGAGAAATCTTTCTCTCTGGTGAACTGGTTTTTTTTGTTGTGGGTTTTTTTTTTTTTTGGTTTTTTGGGTTTTTTTCCAGAAATGGAATGAGCTTGTCAAAAATCATCAGGACAGCAGAGGTAGAGAAAGTGATCTAGGCTGGAGCTGACTTCACACATTTCCAATGATCACAAACTTACCTTAGCTTTCCTGAAGATTTGCCCGCTTTACACTTTCTTAACAACTTACCCCAAAATTCAGAATGTGAACAACTGCTTTGGACAGCTGAATCAGTTCATTGTTTGTTATTTTAAAAATATCTCCAGCTGCATATATGGGGAGAAATATCCAAGTACACATAAACCTTGAGGAAAATTTAGACCAAATGGTATGATACATTATGCAAGAGAAACCTGCTTTATTTTTGAGGCCAAATCCATCCCTTGTACAATGCCAACAAAATGAATGGAATTACATGAAGGATGTAAAGGTCCTTTGCAATTAGTGGGAATCCAGCAAACCTGCAGAACAGTGCTTGCTTGCTGCTGATGTTATTTATTACTTACTAAGACCTAATAGTCAAGCCAAGCTCTTTCCTGGAGAACTCACTACCAAGGAGCCAAAGAAAATCCTGATGGACTGGGAGATACAGGGGAAGGTTCCTGTGTGCAACAGCCATTGCTCCAGCTCTTGCACGTGCACAGATTTGAGATGCAGAGATTGTCTTCATGAGCACAGAGAAGCAGCTTTGCCTCAGGTCTCTAAGCAGTTGCCCCTGTGTGCATCCCTTCACACTGCTGGGGCAGAGGAGGAGTTTGCTGTGATCAAGCTGCACGGGTCCTTCTGCTTGCACTAAATTCTCACTGTCAGCGTGAATTTTGCCCTTGTGATAAGAGGGGGTCTGTGTGCTGCAAATGCTCTGCATTAATTTCCTGCTGTGTTTTCTTAGATGATTTTGAGAGATTTATTTTTTTTTCGGAACTACTACACATGACAGTTTTTGAGTGGCCCAATTCCATGAATAAGGATGTCCCTCAAAATGAAAACAATTTGTGCTTTTTCCATGCTAAATTATAGAAATAAATTTGCTTTTTTCAAATAAGTGCTGTGAGCCAAATTTGCAAGGATGCTTATCCAAGTGATATATCCCATTCTGAGGTCCATATTTGGACACCCAAATCAACACTCAGCCAAACACATCCATGAGGCATTTCAGTGCCATTTGGAGTGTCCATATATAGAACTGGATGCCCTAACTTCATTGCCTTTGTTTTAAAAATAGGCCTGGAATATGTAAAAGCATCATTTAATAACAACTATGACAAACATTCTGTGCTCGAACTAAGACCAAATTTGCTGAAGCTGGTTCAGGTGGATTCCCCTGGAATTGCTCTGGATTTATAGAGGTGTAACTCAGAAAAGAAGCAGTCTCTTAAGTTGCCTTGTCTTCCACTCCCACCCGAAGCTGTCATGATGTTTGGGATCTGTAAATGGGGTAAGGTGGTACTCAGGCAGTAGTCATACGTGCAGCAGAGGGAGAGTCAAGAACCGAGTTGAATTTGCTTCATATTGATCATAACTGCTTGAATGTTTTGGAATGAGTAGAACATCTTTACATAGGCTTGCACACATTTTATTTGTCCTTTATGTGGTACTGGGCAAAGAAATGCATTACTACCTTGAGCAACGCTGGGACATTTTCCAGAAAACATAGGACACACCAGCAAAACACAGAACTGTGAAAAACACAGCTGAACAGCTGCTCCTGGCTGTTTGCTTCCAGGAATGGTGGGAGCATAGCCCCTCAGAGGTGCAGTGGATGCTGGCTGCAGGACACTGCAACACCTCCAAAGGAGACAGAGTATCTGATACAGGGCTGCCCCTCAACCTATCATGTTGGCCAGTCAAGCCTTGTTGAGACTTGAACCTCTATGACACTGAGGATCAGACCCAGCCACAGGGGAAAAAAAAGAGTAACTTAGGCCGCTGACAGCCTCTTTTCTCAAAGCTGTTCCCTGGTCTCTAAAGCATCACTGCCGGAGAAGGTAAGTTCCCAGCCACTTCACCCACTGCTCTACTGAAATAAGTTTTCCAAGAATACGCAAGACCTTGCTGGACCTATTTAGTAAAATAAAAAGGCTTGAGGAAGAAGCAATGTTGCCTTCTTTTCCAGAAAATTGTTGTCCTCGGAGGATTTTCAGAGGGACCGGGAGACTCTGCTTCAGTCTCCTTCTTCAGCTGAAAGAATCAAGCCCACATAGGCACATGCAAAAGAAGTTGTTGAGGGAGGCTGTTATCCCTTCCCATGTCCCAGGCCAGGATCAGTGTGATACAATCTCTCCCAGCTTGTCTGCTGGGACACAAGCTACGCCAAGAAAGGCAGGAGAGGTTCTCTTCACTTCTCAGGAAAGAGGCGCGAATACAATACCTGCAGTGCTGGGAAGAGGAAGCACAGCCCTCCAGTTAGGGCTTGTGGCTTTCTCCTGGAACAAGGGCATCTGCCCTAAAGGGCTTTAGAGTTGCTGCAGTAAATACTGACTCCCTACAGAGCCCATCTCTGAAGCAAAGAGAACCTTCCCTAAGCCAGCTCCCGGAGTTCTCCTCAGCCTGCTGCAGCCATGCCTTCCTTCACACTTCCTGGGCCCTCAGCACAGGAGGGCAGGCAGCCAAAGAACTCCCTGGGGCAGCAGTGCTGGCAGCATCCCCCAGTCAGCTCTGGAGCAGGGGAGCGCGCCAGGCTGGCAGAATTGCACCAGCAGGTCTGCCCCATATGTGCTGTGTGATGCTGGCCCTTCACACTACCTGTCCTCTCCTTTTGGAGTACCTAAGGAGATGCGGTTTCCAGCTCTAGCCAAAGGAGATTGATTTATTGCATCCCAATTGCTAGCATGGTCTTTGGCGTGACAAGCATTATACGAAACATAATGTTTAGGGGACACACACACACACACATAACTCGGGAGCAGCCCACTATATAGCTCACGGGTATCTTTCTAAGCATAAGGCTAATCAGGCGCCCAGGCACTGCAGCACGGCTGGATGCTGGGGAAAGCTGGCTGCCGCCCGCCCACTCTCACGAGAGGTGCGGCAAGATGATTTACGGGCAGGGTCAGGTAGAGGAGCTGACACAAGCGGGTCGGAGAGGATAGGTGCCAGCCCACAGGCTTACTGTCAGTTAACATCCAGGGAACAGGATGGAAAGAGGGCAGGAGCATGAGTTGAATTTCTTAATAACGTGAATTATAAAATAATTTCCTGTGTTAGGGGTTAGGAAAGAGAACGAAGGACCCGGAGATCTTCCAAACAGAAAACAGCTTTTGTTAAGGCTTTTGGCCTAAGGAGTTTGAGGGGGGGTGGGTGGTGGGAAGGGAAAGTGCTGGCACATTTTTGGCTGGAAGCCTCAGACAACATATTTTTTATTCTAGTCTTTATTTTTCAAAATAAAATCATGGCAAGGCAGCAACAAAGAAGGGGAAGAGGGTGAAATTAGGAGGAACAGTACCCAAGTATTTCCCACTTTTTTCTGTCCCTGCCATTAAACACACAGGGTCTCCTTTATTATATACAGTAGCGGGATTAAGCCAGCAGCCCAAAGGTTAGGATTGCAACAGGATACTTTTATACTTATTGATCCTGGGGGTTTTTTTAGGGAGATTGTTTTCATGAAAGTTTAATTCACCTTTTTTAGCTTCTGAGTCTA